ACAGAGACCATGGCTCTGCTCAGGGCCACAGGGATAACCTTGCTCAGAGCCAGCCTTGCAGCTTGTGCTCCTAGCCTCTGAAGCAGCCTGGCTGGAGAGCTTACGAGAAATTCTGGTAGTTGCCTTCTGTGATGTCAAAATTAAAAGGGTAACCTCTTTTCAGATCTTATGATGAATCTCACGTCTGTGAGTTTATCAAAATGCTTCCTTCTGATCCCACTCTGACATCCTTTAAGGCCAATATTCCTTGAAGGCGACAGTAGTTACCTTCTTTCAGAAGGGAGGCCTCTTTCAGGCATCCAAGAGCTGACAGCTCCAGCCCAAAAAACGCCTGGGGAGCTCAGGTTCCCAATCGCCCGCACACTGGTGGAGGCCAAGCTCCCTCTCTGAGACTAGCTCAGGGTTCCAGCAGTCCTCAAAGGGGTGTTTGCTTCTGGCCCGAGGCTAATTCCAGGCACACAAGAGAGAAGCAGGAGCTGTACTGTCATTTTCACTAGTTTCAAGAATCCTTCAGAGCTCTGTCCTGGGTGTCAGGAACATCCTGGGTGATTTGACGTGTCTGTTGAGAATGTTCTGATGGGCCCCTTCCAAACAGTCCAATGAGCACCGAGCCTCCTTTTCTGAAGAACTGAGCAAGGTTATCCCTCTGGCCCTGAAGAAGAAAATAGATTCCTTTTTCAGCTGCCTCCAGCCTTGGGGTGTCAGTGAGAAGACCTAAGGGGAAGGCGGGGAGAGCAGTATTGATGAGTGGTTGCTGGGACAACACGAGTTGAATAGGATTCTGTTTTCACAAAATACCATTTTAGGAATGAGAGATACCAGTAAGGGCTTCCACATGGTGCTTTGTATTGACTATTGTGTTTTTAGACTTAAGGAAAAAGTATCATGGTATTTCAGACCCTATTCATAATTTTCCATAAAACTCTTAGGCTAAAGTTCCAGCTTTCCTCTTGGGCTCAGTCATTTGAAATGGCCAATATCTGACCATTTTTTACTTACAAAAATGGCAGTTTCATCAGGTTAAGTATAAGTTCCACCTTCCATTTCTAGAAAATCTGTTTTTATGGCATAATCTTCAACTTGTGGCATAAAGATAGTATTTTACCACGAAGAAATCCCGCCTTTACTTGCAAATGGTTTGGGGGATATGTAGCTTCTGTTTGTTTGTTTTTAATAAATTTGTTTTTATTTTTGGCTGCGTTGGGACTTTGTTGCCGCACGCGGGCTTTCTCTAGTTGCGGTGAGCGGGGGCTACTCTTCGTTGCAGTGCGCAGGCTTCTCACTACGGTGGCTTCTCTTGTTGTGGAGCACAGGCTCTAGGTGCGCGGGCTTCAGTAGTTGTGACACGCAGGCTCAGTCGTTGTGGCTCGCGGGCTCTAGAGCGCAGGCTCAGTAGCTGTGGCGCACGGGCTTAGTCGCTTTGCGGCATGTGGGATCTTCCTGGACCAGGGATCAAACCCGTGTCCCCTGCATTGGCAGGCGGATTCTTAACCACTGTGCCCCCAGGGAAGTCCATAGCTTCTGTTTATTTCAGGAGCAACTTTAAATTGATGACATGGGTCCATCTCTCCCTTTGTGGTCACAGCTCATAATTCTGATGGTGGAAAAGTCTGCAGTCCTCTCCACCTCTTTCCGACACGGGCCAGCCATCACTGGAGGGGTGTGGCCTCGTCGTCGTTTTGAATCTTGGAGCATCATGAGACTGGAAGGAATTGAATTTGAAATTGCCTGTGTACCAGTTCTGCTCTGGGCTGGAGAAACATTCCTGCCACAGATCCATCTAGTGACATTAATCTTTCGTTGATTTAATTTGGTTTTCATTCTTAAAGTAGGGGCCAAGAGGACGCTCCCTGCCTCACGGGAGTACAGGAGGATTAATGATCCACTCTTAGGAAAGCATTTGGAGCTCCTCAGATGGAACAAACAGCATCATAGTTTTAACACTTCGGATTCTGTGGCACTTTTCAAAAAGGCATTTCTGTCCTTAACTGAGCAGCAGCTGACTTTTGTGCCAAATAGAAAATGGAAACCTCTCCCCCCACAAACATCTGTAAACAAACTAGTTTTCTGTCTTTACAACAATGTTAAAGTGTCACGCGGGGGAAAAATGTTCCAGCCCTAGAGCAGCTGTGAAAGTTAGCAGTACACTTGCACACATACATGCTCAAACACACACACAACTCAGCCGCTAATAAAATGCTTTTACACTTGCTCTCAGGAGATGATTTCAGAGTAAAATTTCCCCGGTACAGGCTGCGTGTGCGCTGTCTTAATGCCCGATCGCTGTGTCAGCAGCGAGTCGTTGTCAGCTCTTGAAAAGACGTTTGAACTCTTGGCTGTGCTCCTCCTTGGAAGGTCCATCCGTGGTGTCTGGGACGATAAAGCAAGGGTGCTTGCTTTTGGAGAAACAAAGCATCTGACAGTAGCAGAGTGTTGGCGTAACACTCATCAGGGTCCATTTGGGATTCATTCTTTGACAATTACCCAGAATGAATCACCAGCTTCCTTTTTTAAAAAGGTATTTATTGGCTTAGAAACAGAGCATATCCAGCTCTTCATGGGGAGGACTTCTGTAACTATGTTCAAACATTCTCATAAACTCGGCGTCTGAGTATTGCTAGGGGGGGTGCCTGCACAGAGCGTTTACTTTAATTGCATCAAATATGGAGGAGAGCTGACAAATCAGCCAACAGGGTCGCTCAGTGAATAGCTCAAGGGGAGAAGAGAGGACGTTTGGTAATAATGGCAGAGTCCAGGAGCTCAATAAGAGTTTAGAATCCGTGCTCGAGATACTTTGCAGAGGCCAGAGGGCCCCTGCCAGCCCCTGCCCAGGGCCCCCTCCCTACAAGATGTCCTGAACACCAGGAGTTGGAGGCCTCTGGCCTATACTTAGTGGCTGGCTGGACACGGCTGGCTGGACCCTGTGCTCAGGGGCCCCCTCTAGGGCTGGCTCTCGTGCGTGTTCCTTCCTCTGTGGGGACAACCTGCAAGAGATTAGGCTTTAATCCTTTGGTGTTTGCTGAACAGGTTTGTACATTCTGATAACCGGTGTGCTGCAGGCCAGAAGAGAAATTCTAAGGTTCTACTTTTTTCCAAGCGGAGGGAGGCCAGGTCCAAATTAATATTAGAATTCAGAGCAGCCTTCGCGCTTTCAAGTGCGATGTTCAGAAATGACAGGGTTGATCTTTCAGCCACATCCCAGAATGAAGGTGAAGATTTGTGTATCCCTGACCTGCCTCTTCTTATGGCCCATTTGTCTTACATTTTTGTGGACCAGCCCCTCAAAACAGTTTACTCCTCCCAGGAAGCAAGGCCTGCTCTCTTGTCTCTCAGCATCTAGTCCCCCTTGGCCTGAAGAGGCCTTCTTCCCCTGGTTGGGTGTGGGGAAGGGGTGCACAAAAGGCCACTGGGGCCCGGCTTCCACGGTCCCAAAAAGCCTCAGATGAGAACTCTTGACCTTATCCCCAAAAGAGGCTATACATTGGTGTTGAAATTGTGTGTCAGTGTGGTAAAAGCATTTATTTGTCAACTGCGTACATTTAAAATCTGTGACAGTTTTTTAACAGCTGTGTTGAGATATAATTTATATACCACAAAGGTCACCTCTTCAAAGTGTACAATTCAGTGGTTCTTGGAACATTTGTGGAGTTGTGCAATCATCACCACAGTCTAATTTTAGAACATTTTCATCAACTCAAATAGAAACCCTGAACTCATTCGGCGTCATTCCTCACTCTTCCAACTCCTGTTTTAGGCAACTAGTAACCTACCTTCTGTTTGTATACATTTGCCTATTCTGTACAGAATTGGACCTTTTGTGCCTGGTTTCTTTCCCTTAGCAATGTTTTTGAGGTCCATTCATGTAGCATGTGTCAATACTTCTTTCCTTTTATTGTATAGCAATTTTTTTGTAGTGTATTCATTCAGCAGAATAATAGTAATTTAAAAAGGATGAACTACTGGTTGCTGCAACACCACAGATGAACGCTGTAGACCTTATATGGACCCCATGCTGAATGATTCCATTTACATGAAGTTCAAGAACAGATAAAACTAATCAATGGCAATGGAAGTCAGAAAAGTGATTACCCCTGGATGAAGATGGGGTGCTTACTGATTGAGAAGCATAATAGGGGTACTTCTTGGGACCTTGAAATATAACTTTATATCTTGATGTGGGCGGTGGTTACACAGTATGTACTTAAGTGAACGTTCTTGAGCTGTACACTTAATAGTAGCACTTTCCTGTAAGTCATGCTTCAATTTTAAAGTTTTTATTTAAAAGTACATGCATTTTAATGATTTTTACAAGATTCTTTTAAAAAATAAGCAATACCTGCAGAAAAGAAAACAAATTGTAAGTGTATTACTGGATGAATTATAAAGTGAGCCTATCTTATTTATAACTTCCACTCAGATCAAGAAACAGAGCACTGTGGGCACCACAGAAGCTCCCTCCTGGACGTTCCTAATCACCACCCCCCTTTCTCTTCTCCAAACAGTTAAATCATAGTTTCGACTGTTTTAGCTAAATGAGAATGGAATCACACGGTATGCATTCCATTTTGTCAGGCTTCTTTGGCTCACCGTTCCATCACTGTGAGGTTCATGCATGTGGCAGGTAGCAGTAATTTGCTCACTTTCATTGTTTTGTCATAGCCTGTTTTATGAATATACCCCAAATTATTTATTCATTCTACTGTTGATGGTTATTTCCAGTACGGGGTGTTTACAAAGTTTATCTCAGGATATGTACAGGTGTATACCTAGATGTGAAACTGCTCTGTTACCAGTTTATAGGTTTTTGAAAACTTGTTTCAGCATTTCTTAATATAGTAGTAACCCCCAAAATGAAAACGGCCCGAACATCTCCTGTCCCCTAGAAGCTGAGATGCCTCCCAGCACAGCTGGGTCCTCCCCTGGTCCAGGGCTGGCCCACCTCCTATCGGCCCCACAGCATCCTTTGAGCACTTGCCTCCCTGTATCTCATGGCCTCGGTCTGCCACCTTCACAGGACCGCAGACTCTTTGAGGGCAGAGACAGTGTCTTGCTTATCATTATAGCCCCAGCCTCCAGTGCCCAAAACATAGGAATTCTTAATAAATATTTGATAGAATAAGTGAGAGAATGTAAGATCCACCCAGCCATCTAATTCCTGGGTAAAGTTGAGAAATACATCAAATTTTGAAAACTCATCTATTTTTTATCTTTGCTTTCAGATATCAAATGGATCCTCTATAAAAGTTTTTAAGAAGATAGCAAATTTTACTTCAGGTAACAGACATAATGCTATTAACCTTTTGTTCTCACCCCACTTTATAAAGCATCACTTTTTGCCTCTCTCGGATGTACTGTCACAAAGATGAGATTGAGTGGTTGCCAGGTAATTCTCTGAGAGAGTGGAGGAAAGCATTTAGATCTGTTTCTGGTCCTGAGAATGTGAAACCTGCAAAGAGGGGGACAGGAAACTGTAAACAGTGGTTGCCCTGGCTGCCCGACACTGAGGAAGTTGCTGTCATTAACCACCCTAAGCTCAGGGCAGAATCTTAGCCACTGTAACTCTTTTCCCAACTCCTCAGTAGGATGGGGGCTAACCGAGGGGATCCCCCTGGCAAGCTGAGCGAAGCCCGCAGATTATCACACAGCCCTGGAAGCTCTGAACACACAAGATAATTCACTTAGCCCAAATCTCCTAGTGACAGACCAACTACAGAGGGGGCTTTGTGAAAAATTACTAGGCCAGTCTCTGAACTCTCTTCTACCTCCCCGCCAGCCTTGGGGCAGGAAAACACTGTGACAGTGCCTTGAGGAAATCCCTAGGTCCAGGTTCCAGGTTTGTCTCCAGAGAAATTATATCCACGCAAGACAGTCAGTCCTCAGCCCCCAGAAAGGTTCTGGGTCTCACCAGCAGGACCTGTTCACACACACAGCTGGAGGTGGGACTTTCTGATTCCTGGATTCAGTGCTAGGAGCAGCCTGGTAGGTCCCAACATCTGGTGAGTGCAAATGAAGAATGCAGGGCTCCCAATTAAATAGGATAACTTGGTAGGTTGTAGGACACCCTGTGGGGAACCCTGCCCACCCCACATTCCCCCATCCATCATTACGTCAGGCTATAGTGAGAAACCACCTTGCAGAAGGCGGCTATCTTTCTGGTCTAGGGGGATTGGTGTCTTTGTGCTGTTAATAAGTGCAAGAGCTGTGTATTTTAGGCTTTAATGACTGGTTTTTTGAGAGCTTGTTATTTAGAGATCTTGCATTTGGATCACTTAATGGGACTTCAAGGCAGTCAAAAACACCTCTGCTTCCTCCCTGTCCAATCCAATGGACACTGGATCACCCTCCAAACCCTTGCCCCTCTGTCCTTTCATCACCCACTGCGTGACAGTCCCAACCCAGCCCTGGATGAACCCAACTTCTCACCTTTCCCGACCCTACAGCTGGGCAGCCACAGGGGAAAGGCCCACGACAGCACAGTTGGAGTCACAGTAAATTCCCGTCTTGACCAGGACCCTCCACGTAGCCTGTTCCCCCCCGTGCTTCTGCTTCTTGAAGCAACCGACTGTGTTCTCCATAATCCCACCTTCTCTCCTCGAAGCTCTGACCCCCCACTGCTCCCCTGACTATCAGCAGATGACTTCACCCAGTGCTTCACAGAGAAAACAGAAATCAGAATTCCCTCAACAGTGTGCACTAACCCTGCCTCCCTGCCTCTGCCATTCCCTCCTCCTTGCTCCCCTGACATTCCAGGGCTGCCCTTCCTCCCAGCAAGGCCTGTCTCTCACCTGGGCTTTGGATCCCACCCTCCTTTCCGACCTTCTGAGCATTCCTACGCCACCACCAGTGATCTCTCCTCTCACCTGCACTTGCTTTCCTTCGCTCGCTACTGTATTTTTCCACAAGCATTTCAAGGTATTCTAGTCTCTAATCTTCAAAACAAAAAACCAAGTGCTTTAATCCTTCCCTTCCCTGCATTTGCCACTCCCTTCACAACCTCGTTTCTTCCCAGAGTGTCCTCACTCTGTGCTGCTCTCCCACCTGCTCTATGACCTCCGCCTTGCTGCCCTTCTCTCAGATCCGAGATCGCCTTCTCTCCCACCACAGGGCCTTTGTACCCATTCTCCTCCCCCATTGGCCTGGCTCATTATCCATTCATTTAGGTTCAGTCCCGACATCCCTTCCTCAGAGAACCTCCCAGGCTAGGTTCGTCTCTTGTTACATACTTTCCTAGCATATAATTCTTCTCCACAGTTCTTATCACAAGGATATGAATTAAATAATTAATTGTGTAATTAGTAAGTCTCTCTCATTGGCTAGGATGTGAGTTCCATTAGGTGAGAGCTAGGTCTGTCTTATTCATTGCTGTTTGCCTAGTAGCCCCTGGCACACAGTAGGTGCCCCAGCTCTAGCTGACCTGAACCTCTCCTACCCCACCCTGAAGTGATCGGTCAGCCTGTTCCAGGGACAGGGAACCTGCTTCCCACTCCAGTCCCTGGCCCATCCTGTCTTCAATAATGTTCTTAAGGTCTTAAGACACAGCAAGGAGGTGGGGGGGGGGGGGGGAATGTAGCTATGAAGAGCTCAAGTAGGAGGGCTCAAGTAACCTCTTCTGTTTATAGCACAAATGGGGCATCTTATGAGAAGGCCAGTTACCGTGGCTGTTGTTTTAATGGACTGTTTCTCTCCCTCTTTCTGTGGCGTTCAGATGTGGAATACTCAGAAGACCACTGCCATTTGGTGAGTTCAGGCTTTCTTGTGCTCCTGCTGAAGCGGATGCCTTCTGCAGCACGAACGGTCTCCTTGGGTAATGCTTCTTCTACTCTGTCTTCCCTTTAGATTTTACCAGATTCGGAAGCATTCCAAGATGTGCAGGGAAAGAGACATCGAGGGAAGCACAAGTTCAAAGTTAAAGAAATGTATCTGACAAAGCTGCTGTCGACCAAGGTAAACTCACTGTTCTGGGAGCGCTTTTACGGCTACCTTGGGGGTGTATGATGTGTTTGACTTCATTTCCACTGAAGTGTGAAAATGCTACAAATCCCTTGTGCCTTCTAGCAAAGCAAAATGAAAGTTTGAATTGTAAACACTTCCTACCCCCTTCTTCTTCTGTTTTTACAAACTGCAAAGATAAAGCACTTTACAAATTTCCACCGTAACATCTTCAGTCAGGGATTTAATATTGTTCCCAGTCCCTTTACCCACCATTGCACTATTGTTATATTTTTAGGTGGACAGCATAATTATTCCTTTTTGTTTACTTGTTATTATAGGTGAGCAATAAAACTCCCTCTTTGAGTTGCAAATAAAACGAAGAGGGGGGAGGTCATTTTAAAACTAAGAATTCTGTTCACATATAAAAGTGTCAGATATGAAAGCCCATGGAATACCAAATTGGGAGCAAATTTTACTTTATCTGGCTTTTAGTGGGATTAATGGAAGTCTGTGGTGATCCTTTTTTTTTTTTTTTCTGAAATGACTCGCAATGTAAATGCTATTATCTAGTGGGTAGAGGACAGCCAGAGCCTCTTGATTTTCTCATCTGTCCCACAGAGCTCTGCCTATTTTGTTTTAGTAAAACACTCAAATGCTTTGGAAAGTACACAGTAAAACCCTATGATGGAAATACATGCAACAGGAAAAGTTCTGGGAACCGAGCAATACCACTTGAGTTTTTCTAGGCTGAACATAATAAAAGCCAACCGTCTGGGGCTTCTTGGTTTATGTATACAGACCTCCAACTTACATTTCAACTGCTAGAGATGTCTAAGGTAGCCTCCCTGTTGACTAAACAGTGTTATCAGCAAGAAGCTTATGAAGCAGATCTAAACCTGGGCATGGATTTTCAGGACCTTTGTCTAATACTGTGAGTGTTGGCCTCATTTGTCGATTTTACATACTTTATCTTCAGCTTGTTTTTCTCTGTTTTGTAACTTAGATTTCATTTTTCATTGTGTTTTCAAAACCACCACCCTATTTTTTTAAATCTTCCAAGTCTGATGTGCTCTGTCTTTCAGGTGGCAATTCACTCCGTGCTCGAAAAACTTTTTAGAAGCATTTGGAGTTTACCCAACAGCAGAGCCCCGTTTGCTATAAAATACTTTTTTGACTTTTTGGATGCCCAGGCTGAAAGCAAAAAAATCACAGATCCTGATGTTGTACATATTTGGAAAACAAACAGGTGGGAACAAACAGTAGGTGATTACTGTTTTCAAGAACCTGGGTCAGAATCTTAACTAAAAGAAGGGCATGGATGGTTACAGAAGGATTCATTTATCCCTATCTTAGAGTTTTTTGGCTTGGTAAGCTATCATGTCAAAGCAGCTTCTTGTTGTTACTATTTTTAAACAATAAACAAAACCATTCCTGTGCTGAGACTCCTAGTCTTTAGGACAAAGAAAATAATTATCTTTAAACAAGTTTAGCTTGACCAGTAAAAGATGAGAAATTAATATTTTGTGGTTTTATCATACAATTTTCCATTAGAGAAGACTCTTAAATTTGTCCCTCAGAGAATTACTCTTTGCGGTTTCCAAGCTGTCTATTTTGTATAGAAATTTCTCCTTTTATTTGATCAAATGCCATGAGAATTAGTCAAAGGGGGGGGTGTATTTTGTTTTGTTTTTTAATACTTTAAGCTGAGGCAAGGCATCCAAATTAAAATTTCTCCTCAGTAAAGAAACATGGCTCATTACCTCTAATTGAAATACTCTGTGCATGAGGTGAATGAGAGTTAGTTATGATGTAATAGAACTTCTCAGTGCAGCCTCAAGCCCTTCTAAGCATTGGGGTGAAGCCAGACCATTTTCAATAAGTGTTAAAAGCTCCAGGTCTATCCTAAGTCTCTACTCTGGCTCCCTCCCTCCCTTTGTTCTAGCCCCTCCTTCCCAGGCCCTGCTTCTCCCACACCAGGCTCTGGTGCTGCAGGCGACAATTTCACTGTGAAGACAGCAGCACACGAGCAGGGGCACTAGTCAGGACAGGAGAGCTACTGAGAGGCCCAGCAGCCCATATGATGGAGGGAATTAGCTAGGCCACAGGACCCTGAATGACTTCCAAGTTCATATGCAAATATCTGAGTACCGACTGTATACCAAGTACTGTTTGTTAGGTGTTGGAGATAAAGTAATAAACAGACAGAAATCCGTGTTCTTACAGCGCTTGCATTTTAACAGGTAAATTGTGGTATGTTAGAAGTCGATTAGTGCAGTGCACAGAGTGGGGAAAAAAGGACAGAGACGGGATAGGTGGTCAGAGGCCTCAGGAGATGACATTTGGATCAGGTCTTCAAAGAGGGCACAAACCACGAGGCCGTCTGGGGCAAGACCGTTTCAGAAAGACAGACAAAAGCGAAGTCCTGAGGCACAAGCCTGCCTGGTATGCATGAAGAAGAGGAGTGACGAGGCCAGTGGAGTTGGGGCGAGTAAGGTGAAGAGTAGTAGATGAGGGCCCAGGCCTAGGTCATGCAGGGGTTTTCTCCAGAGAGGGGTGGAGAGCCACAGAGGGTTTGGAACAGAGGAGACACAGGACCTGATTCTGCTAGTACCTGTGGGAGAATTAACTTTTGGGAACCGGGGGGGTAATAATCTAGGTGAGAGATGACAGTGGCTTAGGCCAGGGTGTAGCACTTAGAGGGGGTGAGAAGAGGTCAGGTTCTAGAGATCTGATGAGACGTTCTCATTGGTAACCATTAGCTAATATAATCTGGAACTTTTTGTGGAGAAAGTTCTTGTCTTGTCAAGGGCCACTTTCAGACTTCTCCAGTCCTCCCTTTCAGTAGCTCTGACAGTTTAACCCTTTCTTGTGCTGAGTGACGCTGCCATCTGTTGCTTGGTATATTTGGCAAAGCAGACTTGCATACTTCAATGACAAGGACAAAAACACCCGTTTACAAACTGTGATAAACAGAGCATCTGCCTCATATGAATGGCTGTATTTGAAGAGAGATTTCTCTCTTTTGGAACAGCCTCCCTCTTCGCTTCTGGGTAAATATCCTGAAGAACCCTCAGTTTGTCTTTGACATTAAGAAGACACCACACATAGATGGCTGTTTGTCAGTGATCGCCCAGGCGTTCATGGATGCGTTCTCCCTCACAGAGCAGCAACTTGGAAAGGTAAGGCCCAGCTTTAGGATTTCCTGTATGTATTTCTGTCTTCCTCGTAAACATTCAAATAATAAACCATACCAGCTAAAAAGAAAGTCAGTGATAGTCACTGAAAATTTGCTTTTCTTCAAAAAATCTCTCATTTATTTCTATTTTTAACCTAGTTTAAGTGAAAACCAAAATAGATCATCTCCACCCTACTGCAGACTCCGCCTGTGAAAACCTTTTGTTTTTCTTTGTTTCCTAGAAAAATCATCTACAGGCACTAATAAACTATGAACCCGAAGTATGAAACTATTGAAATTTGCCTAAATTAATTCCATCTGAATATACCTAAAAGCGTCTATTTGAATACAACAAATTTCTGATGGGGAAGAAAATCTTGCCTGAGATTTCTAATACCTCTAGTTTGTCAGTTTACAATCAAATCAATATTGTAATAACACCCTGAAAGGAATTCAAGGCAAAGATCAGGATGAGGCATTCTGTGCTCTGGGGAAACTGGCAGAACTGGCCCTCAGTTAGATATTTTCAAGAGAAAATTTTATGAACTCAGTTTCTTGAATCTTCCCATACTTAGTTAATGGTTTTAGTGCATTTCTAAGATATCTGTTCCTCACAAATAGCAGTAAACTTCAACCAAGATGTGCACATTTGACTGCACATCCCCCTTCCCTCAGATCACATATACAGGCCTCCCCCCCTTACCTCTTCCAAACAGTGCTCACAGCTTTCTGAGAGGCTATCTCCTGGGTCATAATCCTCAGGTTGGCCTGAATACATTTTTCCATTTCTTTCTTAGATTGACTATTTATTAATTTTTCTTTGACAGTAGATGTTAATTTTGTCAAAATTATAACTTTTAAAAACAAATCTTCATTTAAATTTTAATATCACTGTTAAAATTACTTAAAAACATTCAAACTGCCAGGGAATTTTTGCAAAATGAGACATCAGAGCCACCAATACTAATGACCATGCTCTTTCCTGAGGACACTGGAAGAGCTTTATAATCTAATAAAATAGAAGGGACAAGCAGGAAAATCTGCCACTGCCAGTTACCTACCACGTTCATGGTTATATAAAGGGCTCAATCAGACCCACACTCAAACCTTTTATAAATGCCAGAATTCACTGGTGGGTGAGGATGAGAGCAAACGTTTTAATTCAGGCTTTTTACAACTATTAGTAATGAACTATGACTGCAGTAAGTTCCATTGTTACAGTAACTCAAAATCATGCAAAAATAATAATTTCAGTTCTTTTATAAGAGGAAGGCAGAATATATTAGCATTTAATCTGCCTGAAAATAACAGTGACTCACCAGAACTATCTGGATAGCAGTCAGTCAGGCAGTCAACAACGTTTATGAAGGCCTGCTGTGTGAAGAGTCCTTGTTACCACGAGATAATCGTGGTGGAGGTTCAGCTACACTGGTACTCTTATAAATTCCCTGTGGTTTTTTAAAAACTCCTTTGGCGGTGGTTGTTTTTCAGGAAGCACCAACTAATAAACTTCTCTATGCCAAGGATATCCCAACCTACAAAGAGGAAGTCAAGTCTTATTACAAAGCAATCAGGGATTTGCCTCCATTGTCATCTTCAGAGATGGAAGAATTCTTAACTCAGGAATCTAAGGTATTGTTACAAAGTAAAAAGACTGTATTTGGATATTTCTTAAAAAAAAAAAAAAAAAAGCCACTGCAGAATCTCTCAACAAGGCTTTATTTCTTTAAGAAACATGAAA